GCGCCTGCCGGCAGCCCGCGCTGCTTGCTGCGCACCCGGGCGCGCACCGCTCGCCGGCCAAAACAGGGTTCACCTCGTTTCGCTGGGAGTTTCCACAGGATTACCTCCAGCTTGACGAAAGGCATTATTTATACAGACAGGCAGCTGGAAGCAGAAATCCAAACTCATGGTTTGTTACTCCAATTATATATGTGACTGCACTGATCCTTTTTTTTCAGCTAGTAGCCGCAATGGGTTTTTAGGGAAAAATATACTATCCCCAACTGCATCGATAAAGAGGGGATGCTGAGGGAAAAAAACAGCACATCTTTATTTACATACTGATTTTGCTTGTAATGATAATTCAGCATTCCTATTACTGACCCAAAGAAATCACTCACGTGAGCTATTTTTAGTTAAAATATCAAGTACCAAAGATAGCTAAAGCTAAGTTCCAGGCCTTGTTCTGAGTTTCTCGTATATTTTTAGTACAGCACATGAAATTAATACTGAATGCTCAAGATAGAGAGTGACTTGTTAACCAGTTTCTAACACCACATTCTTAGGGCTGGAAAAGTAACATTCATGCAGTGAGATTGCATAAGACTTGGTAAGCCAGACTGTGATATGGAAAAACTGGTTCTGGGTAGTAGATAAAACTGCTACTACCTAGGTGTCAGTTTTGCGAAAAGGAGATTTATCTTTCTTATATATAAAATGATGTGAGTGTGTGTGAAAGAAACTGCCTCTTACACTTTATCAGACTTTCTGTTGTGCTTAGAATATTAACATAAAAGTCCTGCCTTCAAAAGTTTACTGATTATGTCAAGTCTGGATATACTTACCATAGGAGTAAAAAAAAAACATAAGGACAAGTTCTGATACTAAGCTGTATCCTCCAAAGAATCTGCCCCCATAAGTGATCTAAGGATAAGTCTGTTTCAGAAAGGTCTGAGATAAATCTAAAGAATAAAATTAGAACAATTTTTTAAGGTAGTTTAAATCAGAATCCAAAAATGTTCTCAAAAGGCTCTGTGTGTGTGTGTGTGCATATCAAAGAGAGATACTTTGCTTGAATTGCAATGCATACATGCTGTACATTATTTATGTAAGATTTTGTACAAGTGCTTTGGAAAAAATCCAGCACAACATCTTACCTAAAATAGCCAAGGATGCCTACTCAATATTGAATTGCTACAAACACTATGTTTTCAAAGGCTGATGGCACTGAGCCATCATATGTTGAAGCTGCACCAAGCACTAATGCACCTCCAGGGCTCCACACAACAGCCTGAAGAAATACAGACAGGGTCAGAGTTGTGTATCTGCAAATCTAAACCCACGGATTTCAAATCGGAAGTTATTTCATCTTGATTGCTAATTGATTGCTAAAGATACAGTTCTGTTTTGTGCTGCATGCAGATACTGCTGTTATAATTTCAAGCAACTAAGAGCATTAGACTAAAAAAGTTAGAGGAATCTTTGAATATTAGAATTTTGAGGAGTAGTTAAAGATGCTTCAAGAATAATCACTATTAAAGTATTTGCATTACATCTATTCCCTGAGACTTTAAAGAGTTTCAAAAATAGAAGGGTTGCATTAGGATACCTTAAGTCTATTTTAATAACTATTTAATTGTAAAATATTAATGGAGTGGTGAATCTTGCAGTAAACATGGACTTAGTATGAAGTAACTCATCACAGCATAAAGCGAAATCATGCTTAGAGCTATGTGAGAGCACCCTTAAAAACACATATAATTGATAAAACACAGCAGAGGGCAAATGACTTCAGCTGACCTCTCTCAAGTTGCAAATGAGTGTGAGATTACTGTGTAATCTACTGTATCATTGCTAGTCTGCAGACTACATCGCTCCTGTAGAATACAAAGGGTCAAGAAGATAAACCACTTTACGCTAACAGGATAGCAGAGCAGCAAAAACTTTACAAGATCACAAGGATGTAAGAATGAGAAGCCTATAATGTCTTTTATGCTTTTAAGTAGATTGGGTTGATGCTTTTGGAGATGGTGGATATGATCATATTTTAATTGCATTTGAAATTACAAACAAGTTCCTCCTCCGCCTAAATGTAGATCAGCAGAATGCAGACTGACTTGACAAAACAGACCAAAATAAAGGATTAAGCATTAAAGCAGACTTTGTCAGAAATACCAGCAGCAAATACAATGCGTAGGCCAAAATACTCCAGGTTGGGAACTGGCTAACACGAGAACGGCCCTGTTTGACCCTGAAATTCTCTATGTGCCTACAAGCAGTGAACAATACCATACTTTGCTCTCCCCTCAGTCTTGGTGGGTGTCTGTCCTGTCAGCAATGCTTCCGTCCTCTGGCCAATGATTCACAAAAACTTTGCCAGGAAGGATGGAAGAACAGAAAATCGCACCACAGAATAGTCTGTGAAAACTCGAGAGCCTTGAGACTCGGGTCTTGCCACAGAAAGTAGGAAAATTCAGATCTGAAACCTTTAGGTTGAAGAAATAAACTGAGCATGTTTTTCACTTCCTAGGTGTAATCTAAACAAGGCAGAGCATACAGAAGTGTCAAAGAGCAACCATTCTTTGCGTTATTTTGATTGCATGGAGAAGTCCATATCCAAATTGGCCATTTGTTTCAGTATACAGGAAATGCCACTTCAGATATTTTGTGTGTGCGCTAAAACCACCTGAAGAAATATCAAGCAATTCTAACCTTTTGTACGTAGACACTTTTGCCCAATCATAAGCAGACATTACCAATATAATCCATTTCAGGTTTCTGAAGTTTTGAAGTGTCTTGAATAGTTTTAAGCAGCATTTTATGAAACGCACCTTTCTAATCACATTTTTATGTATGCTATACCTGTTTGCAGGTACTGGCACTGCTTCCAAATTCCAAGCACTGGTTTATTTATACTGTAATATTAAATCTGTGGGAAAAGAACAGGAAGATAACTCCTCAGTTTGTGAATTTTATTGCAGACAAGAATGTAGACATAGGTGGAAAAACTGCTCCGAAGGTTATTGCTCTGGTGGCTGAGATGCTGTGACTGCCCTAGTCATTCCCAGGGCAAACGGAAACAGAATTTTCTAAAATACATTAAGACCCAGCTCAAGCTGAACAAACAAGTGACTAAAGGAAAAAGTACTCGAGAGAAGTTCAGACCGGTGTAACTAAACCTCTACAGATTTATGTATCAGCAAACACTGCTGACATCACTGCCAGATAATCTTGCAGAAATGGTTTGCCTTATTGCAACTTACCCTAAGCAACACTGCAATCACCAACTGTTTCCAGCCACACTTTTGCTGAAATTACTGCTATGCAGCATAGCCATTTGAGTGAGCACTCTTCATCCACTTCAGTGCGAGATCAGATGACTGGCTAGCTGCTGCTCTGCTGGCTCACGCACTTGCTTCTGTTCTCCTTCTCATTCTTCCCATGCTTTGGGGCAATGAGGTCCAGGTAACCGGCCAGCCCTGAATCGGAAGCTACGTAGCCAAAACCAGCAGTGCTGTCAACAGAGCTCATTGAGAAGAGCAGGAAAACCTTTATGATTATGCAAATTGATGCTTTAACTTAAAAATATAATAAGTATGTTTGTGTCCTGGACTTGCTGGATCGTTTCTGTGTGCAGATCACCTGTCCTCTGCAGCTTTGCCTCCAAAGGAAAGTACCACTTTGGGCGGCTCGCAAAGGCCACCTTGTTGCAGAGGACAGCTTGGGCTGCCAGGCTGTGTCTCAGAGAAATGACAAATTTACAGAAGTCCCTGTCTTGCAACTGACTGGCTTGCACAACCCAGCAGCTGGGCAGGCCCAGGTGCAGAGGAAGATGCCCTGCTGCTAGGGCCGGTCAGTCCCACCCTGTCTGTGCTGTACATGGAAGATAGAGCCCTCATGGTTCCCACAGTTTGCACTTTTATGCATTTCTTTGTTGAAACTTTCACAACAAACCCTTGGAATTAGCCTGCATCAGTTAGGTGAAAGAAAAGGAAGTTCTAAAACAAAACAAAACAGAAGTAACATTTATTTATTACATTTTATAAAACAAGAAAATAGAGAATTTCTGTCCTAATTTGTGAGATGTTGAGGCTGTCGCACAGATATTTTTATCATAGGACTGAATATTGCTCTGCTCCCTACAAGCTTTTCCAGTAAACAAAGTGGAAGCCGGAATGACAACTGAGGAGTCTGTTCTGAGAGAAGAGGGAAATGAATATATGACATATTCTGCTATTTATGACACATTCTGCATAGATAATTTCTTATGAATTTCAATGTCTTAGCCAATTTTCTTCCTGTTCCCCCTTCTCTCAGGAGAATTATTCAGTTTTGATAGCCACTGCATAGATACTATGGTCTGTTTGCATCTGAAAGATTGTTTTTTTTTTTTCCACTTCCTTCATTAAATACTGATTTTTAGTCCCATGAACATTCCAAATTTCCCTTGATTCTCTCCTGTCAGTGTGATCATGACAACAAATTACATAACAGTGAGTTAGAAACTGATTAGTAAATTCTGCATTCTGACAAACTAATTTGGTTTGGCTGTACTTCAGGTTTTAAAAGCAAATCACATCCTCTGCCACTCTTACAAATCTGTGTGTTCTGTCCTTTCTGTCATGGTTTGCTTTGTGATCTGTGACCAAAACTTCATTTTGTCTTCTTTCAATTTCTTTGCTGCCTTTTGCGTTAGGTCTATTTCCAGGTATCTTTCATCCAGATCATATTGCGGCCAATGCACCAAGCCTTCTCCATTGGGATTTCTGGAAAGAGCATAGTGAAAAGTTAGCTTTCCATTTGCCTGTCAATTGTGCTCTGACTGCTCAGGCTCCCTGTTTCAGAAAACTAACAGGAGCCCAGATTATGTGATTCTAATATCTGAATAGTTAGATGTTTCTATTAAAATGCTCAGCAGTGGAATAGCAAACATTTAGTAACTGCCATTAGAGTTCTGGACCTAAAGCTCCATTGCAGATGCAGTAATAGATCTTGGATTTTTTTTTTTCTTTTTTTGGGATGCAGGCTCATTTATAAGGTTTTTCTTGGAATTGTTAGGAATACCAACAATTTGTTTCAGCATTTATCTTAAATTCTGCAGAATTTGTGGAACCACAAAATGTAGAAGTATCGCTACAGCGTTTCAGGCAGCACAGGCAAAAACTTTAGCTGTAATTAGCATTCTGATTCTCACCCATTTCTAGCAAAGTTAGTCCAGTATCTCATAATCGTTCGGCTAAGTTTATTTTCTCCTTCTGTAGCATTTCCTGAAAATTGAGAGATGAAATTGCAACATTAGAAAATGAGTAATCAAAAAACAGCACTTAAATCAATTCCAATAAACTGTTGACAGTTCTACTTGTTATTCTGAGCTATGGGGGTTTTACATGAGCAGACTCTAAGACAGAACTGCAGATGAAGGATTTCATGAAAAGCAACTCCAGAAAAAAAACAAAAAAAAGACAGTAAAAGACAGAAAAGTGATATTTTGATTCTTATGTTTCTGAAAGACAAATTCTATTTTAAAAGCACTCAAGTAACCACTACTACTAAAGATGCCTTAAAAAGAATTCTTTAGCAAGCATAGATACATCACCGGCTAAAAATGGCTTTCCAAAGACAAAGGCAATCTCATTTCCATGGTCTGCTTTTACATACTCCGGTACAACACCTGCAGCTGAACTTGATCGATGCTGAAATTCATAAAAGTAGACTGGGTTGCCAGCATCTAAAAGAAAATAAAAGAAGAGCGCTACTTCTGCTGAAAATACACGCCACCAAAGATGATAAAGTTTCATCAAGAGCTATTTTGATAAAACAAAAACAAATCAGTTCTTTTGATAATGAAAGTTTGATGGATACTACCCCCAAACACACCCTAGAATGGAATTCTACATTTCCTCAAATAGATGCTGAATTAGAGACTCACCTCTATGGTATCTAGCTACTTCAGTGGCTGGAAAAACGAAAAAAAAGTCTCCTACTGCATTAAGAAGCCCATCTCGCACCTGAATACGGTTCTCTAAATCCCTTATGTATTCATTGTATACTAGATCAACAAAATCAGCAATCATACCCTAAAATGAAACAAAAAGATATTTCCTGTAATTATGATGAACATTAAAAAGAATAGCAGCATTAAATGAGTGTGCTGTCTTCACGTCCCTGACTAAACCCCGAACACTACCTTCTTTCAGAGAAAATTCCCAGTTGTGCTGGAGTGGGGAAAGAACTCAGAGCTCAGAACTGGGAATTACATGATTACCAGATACAGATATTCTCGGGGAAAGGAGATTTGAAACATCACAAAGGATCCCCTCTAACATCTTCAGATAGATATCGCTCAGTGATGCTGATGAATAGATATTGTAGTCTATTCTGCCTTCTGTGGAAATAACCCTCATGAAAGAAAGGAAATCCTGTTGGATTTCATAAAATTCATTTATTATTATAGATTGCTGCAAATTAATCCCTTTTGGAACAAGCCTGGGCTCTACCAGCTCAAGTTTATGTCAGATATTTGTAGCTCTGAATGATCACTGCAAGTACAGGCTGTAAGTCCTTAATTCTTATGTAATTGTAAGCAAGTGCTTAGTAATTGTAAGTGCTTAGTTCTTTCCTATTATCTGGATTTTTCTATATTCAGCAGTTTCAGGATAGCACCCAGGAAGCAGAAAGCTAAGAGCTTTCTAAGTTACAGGAAGCAAAAATTGAAATGCCTAAACATAGATTTCTCAGAGCCTTTTTAAACGTCTCAGGGTATCCTTTCTAGTCTCCAGCTGCTGCTTCAGAAGGGCCTGTGCGTACCATAGTCTTGTGTAATACCTGCCAGTACCATGCGGATGCCTTGGATAACACAGGATATCTAAAATGTCAAAAGAGACCGATTTCTGCAGAATTCCTTTTATAAAAGAGGGAGCATTTAGGAGAGAATCAGCTAAATTTACAGCACATTTTCTGTATTAATCACTTGCTAGGGGCAATAGGAATTAGAACCGTGTCAGCTGCCCGTTTGGGAATTATGGCTCCACAGCAGGAAGCTGTCACACACCACAAAGTTTGCCTCTAAAATATACCCCTGCAGGAGCACAAATATAGCACGAGCCCGGTCAAGAAGCAGCATTGGGTTATTCTGAAAATAGTATCTTACCATTAAAGGAAATAGTAATGTGTTCTGTAAAACTTGACGTGCAACATCTTTGTCCAGACCTTCTGCGAAATCAGGAAATTTCATCATCTGCATGATAGAAAGAATATATTTGTATTAGGAAGTCTTATATTAACAAAATTATATATAAAGAAAGCCATCATAAGTCTCTTACTCTAGGAAGTATCCATGCAAATTCATCGTTATTTACTCCTATTATATATGGGACTGCATTGATCACTTTTTCAGACAGTAATTGCCTGGGACTCTTAGGAAAAAATACACCATCCACAGATGCACTGATGAACTGAGGATGCTGAGGGGGGAAAAAAAAAAGCAAGTTTCATTAATACATTAATTATGCTTCTAGAAAATATTTTCAGATTTTTAATGCAGTTCCAAAGCAAAACAGAGTAAGTGCCAAGTGAAATTACAAGAAGTAATAGTATTCAAGCCATCTCTTAAGTTTCCCTGATAGATATGCTGCACTGGGCAGAAAGTTATGTTAACCTTAAAATTACATTTTGAATAGTCATTAAATGTAGGTGATGTTGTCCAATATACATTTCTTCTTTGTTAGTTCAATCCTATTATAGATGTGTGGAGCAATGGGGGAAAACTTCTGTGCTGAGACTGCAAAGGAACTGGGAAGTTAGTATTAGAATGAGAAATTTTGAGTTGGGCCTTAAACATATGATATTAATTTTTTAGGTTCTCCAGGAGAAATTGTGACATTTCATGCACTCTTCTTTCCCTGTTAGAGCATGACAGCAAAACGCCAGTAGCTCAAAGCCAATATAGAAAGAGAGGGAAGTAACCTGTTCACATTTTTCAAATGAGGTATGGCATAACTGCAGCTTTGTGAAATCCTGCAAAAGTCAAGAAGAGTCAGATATTACATTCACTTCAAGTTCTCCTAGCATTACAACACACAGAGAGCATTTATGATAGCTGTTACCTTAACATTTGAAGTATCACTCAAATGCGAGAAGTAGAATTTCACCTACCAGTTTCAGAGTTATTTGTTCTAGCTCTTCTTCTGTTTTGTCTTTTAAGCACTGAGCCATTGCAGCTGAACTGGATATCTGACAACCAGCTGCAGTAGCAATTCTCTGCAATCAGTAAAAACAGACAGTCACTTTTTCTTTTACTGATTATCCATATCCTTATAATTATCCATACAGTTCTGGCAAAAGGCTTTTATGTGCCACTGACTCTGAGATCCCAGCAGGGGGACGTCTAAACTTCTCAGCAAGGACCATCAGAGCCAGACATGTTCAGAACTGCAGAGGCAAGGATAAGAAGCCTTCATAACCCTTCATGTTGTGGGGCAAGCAGAAAGACAAGAACATACTCCTCTAAAATGTTCTGATACAGAACAAGGTATGGCATCCTTGCAAATAACATACTGGCATAGAAGGCAGGATGACATACAGGAGTTGCAGTGATGCATCCTCAGAATGCAACCGTGTAGATGGTAACAAAGAGCATGTTACACCTTCTTAACGATGTGCAGGTTTTTTGGGTCGAATAAGATCATTTCTCAGCTGTCATTACAGTGACAGAGATCATTGTAACATTGCCTCTTTTATATCCTGGATTAGCAAACTGAGGTTCCTGGAAGTTGTTTCTTCTAAGTGGAGAAAGCAGGGTTTAAATAAGCTCTTCTTTTGTTTATTTAATCATAAATTGAATTATGGATCTTGCTTCTTTGAACATGACAGGAATCAAATAGGAGGAGCATTAAGAGTATTCAGAGTCTGGCACCATTTTCCAGCAAAAATTATAGAGTTCAGCTTTTCTTGAAGACTATGTAATGAATTTCTTTGCATTTCATGCTTTTCTCTGCCTTCTCTGTCTTACTTCCTTAGTCTTTTGCTTTCTCTCAGGCATGTATGGATATTTGGGTGTCTTAAAAACAAAACATCATTAAACGTGTATTTCTTATCTGCATACAGAAATGCTGTCTATAATGACTGGATGTGGTTTCACAGGAAAACAAATCTAGTTCCACTTTTTGAATAAACAACATGCAAAATTATCAGGAAAAATATTTAAAAATATCACAGACTTGTGCTTGCTCCTCAGGATGCTCAGTGAACAAAATCCTAACTGCAGTACCACTCTCTGAGATGGCCTTATGGAACAAGCCCTTCGCCAGAGGAGATATGACCTGAAAAGCAAGAACAAGCATTACAAGTATGACAAGCACTGTGTTCTGACCACTGACTTAAGAATTTCAATATCAGGAATTGCCTTTTAAGACATTTTGAAAACAAATGCCATGAGACTATTGTTCTGTAGACTCTGGTCATAGTTCAACTATGCAAAGGGCTTTGGCAGCAATGTCAGGTTCAAGAGTTCATGCCTGTCCTTCTCCCTCCCATAGCACCCTGCTTCCAAGACTTTATGGAACTACACTGCAAGCCAGATATGGATTGAATATGTCTGTGTCCAGCGTAGTCTGGCTGTGCTGCAGCAGGGATACAAACAACTATTTGCCAGAGGGCAGGAGCTTAGCAAAGAGGAATTACTGCTAATGCATGTGTATCACTGAAACTTGTTTTCGTTATGCGTTTTCTACCAAATTGTGAGAGTTTGAAGAAGAGCCTCTTAATTTTACACGTACCTCAAATGTACCTCAATGTGCTCAGTATTGATATAAAAAGTGTACATCATCACTGGGTCACAAAATGTACATCTAGTTCAGGTATTATCACAACTATTCACTTAGACTGAATAACTTTGCATGAGTGAATGTCAACACACAGGAAATAGGCAATAGGGCATCCTCTAAAAGGACTTTTCTCAAAGGGATACATTTTGTGTTTACAGTTCTTGCAAAAACCCCAGAATTCAAACTAGTAGATGAGGAATCACATTTTGGTCTGAACTAGAAGATTTGGGAATAGACCATTTTCATCAGTCAGAAGCTGCCTTTATTTCGTGTTGTCTTATAGACTGAAGTGATATGTGCTTTATTATAAAATCATCGCCTATCTCTCCCTGACTTTTCTTGCAGATACTAAAAATGAACACGGATGGTATTTTTTCAGAGTGATTAAAATTCATGATTTCTGTGAACTTACAAGGGCAGAAACACTGACTGCTCCTGCAGATTCTCCAGTGATAGTGACGGATCCTGGATCTCCTCCAAAATTTAGGATATTTTCCTGAATCCACTGAAGAGCTGCTACTTGATCCAAATAACCCCAGTTACCCCTGGCATGTTCATCACCAGTGCTGCAAAGAAAGAATAGGTTTGTTTAAATGCTTGGTGTAAGAAAAAAAGGGGAAATAAATAAAATCTGAGGTACAGTAAATCAGTTGCCAAAGAGCCTCTCTACATAACTGAACCAGAAATGGCTCAGGAAGGGTTGAGATAAGTCTAGCTATCAAACAAGAACAGATTCTGAATTTGACTTGACACACTTAAGTTGTTCCCAGCTGTTGCATATGTAATTAAAACACATGTCGTTTCTTTCTATAAGTAAGTATTGTGCACATCTCGTCACAAAGGTTTTGCACACTTTATTTTAGAAGTCACTTAGCAAAAACTGAGATAGAATATCTTACCTAAAATATCCAAGAATACCTAATCTGTACTGAATTGTTACAACCACCACATTGTCAAAGGCCGCTAATGCTGAACCATCATATGATGAAGCTGCTCCCAAAACTAACCCACCTCCGTGGATCCATACAAAGACCTGAAAAGAAAAAAACACAAACTAACAACCCAGCACAGATGAGAGGTCCCTGTGATACAGACTAAATATAAAACAGAACAGAATACTCTGTGCTATTCCACTCGCAACTCTTTCAGATCGCATTTCACAAATAGTAGAATTCTTCTGAATATGAGATCTGCAGTCTTACACAATGGCATTCATTTTATTAAACATTTGTATTATGCCTATGCCCACTGACTTTTCAGAGATTTTTTTAGAAGAAATCAAACATTACTTATTTAGAATCTCAATCAGACTTTATTTGTAAAATAGGTTTTTGTATGCTTTCTAAACCTCAGCAAATATTTACTGGACCTAAGCATAAAACTCGATTAATGTTGGAAAACTGCACCTGTAAGTCTGCATATAATACAGGTTGTAAGTTTGCTGTAAAGTTATTTTAATCCTTGGGAAGCTTTTAGAAGTTTTAGGCTTAACTTGTTCCTTGAAGTCACAAAAGCAATCAAGTTTGTCAGAGATTTTATAATGACTTTGCTTACAGGTAGCTTCTCCTGTTTTTCTGCAGAAGTGGGTGTGTACACATTTAGATACAAGCAGTCTTCAGACATTTGGAGAGGAACTTTTTCTTGTCTATTAGTAACAAGGTCTGACAAAATCTGTCCTTGTACTTTATCCTGTAGACACCTGGATAAATAAATATAAAAAAAAAAAAAGCAATAGAAATAACGAAAACCTCCAAGCTTCTTCCTCTGTAAAGTACAAACCAGCTATCGATCCCTAGTACATTTCCAGATGTTGGCAACAGAAAAGATAAAATATTTTTTCACTTTTTATATATTTTCTTCCTTTGACTGCCAGTCAGACATGGCATTAATGAGATCTGTATAAAGGAGCCACAGTATAGAGTAGAAAAGTGACATGAAGATATAATTTTGCATGTTTCAAGATACTACAGAATTCTACCTGCAAATGGATATGGCCATAAGTGATTTCAGTGAAAATACAAATCAACTATTTTGCACCTTGTAAAGCTTGTTACATTGTACATGTAGGTGTTAGGCTTGAGGCACTAATGAAGGGTAGTAACTGAGGCAGAGTAAGATGCTTGCAGTACAGCCTAGAACTGGTCCGTGTTTCCTACGAATGCTATCAAGCATGCGACTCACCAGGCACTTTATTCTAATACTTTATTCCAACGTTTCTTAGCTCCTTTTTGTTTCTGTTCCAAACTTACAAGGTTCATAAACATTACTAAGCAAAGGCTGAATGTCCCCAAACGTTATCGATCAAGTGCTTGTCCTTACTAGTTTACTGCTGACACCTATTAGATAGCACTTTTTAATAAAGAGAGCACCTTATGAAGATATCTTCAAAAATGCATTCATTGTAAAACAATTGCAAGCGATAATGAGGTGGCACCATAGAAGTTATCACTGTGACTTTGGATTGCCCTATATATCAGTATCCTGGAGCTGCATATAACGTAAAATCATTAAAAAGATCAATAGTTTTGTCATTTCCTTACATTGGTGGGTAGGAAGTGGCATCTCTGACACCGTTCCATGGCTCAGGTGGCTGGGGTTCAGAAAACCTCAATGGTCCAACAGGAGGCTTAGCAAAAGGAAGTCCCAAAAAAACACTGACGCTCCTCTCAGCTGCATTTACTCTGATTTGGTTGCCTCGGACTCTCCCATATTTGGTCACCACTTCTGGTTGCTCTGTGTTTTGTCCTGGGGGATGCGCACACAGAATCATGAGTGGTTCGTTTCTAAGCGATTGACGCGTTTCTAAGAGCTGTAGCTACTTAAATATGCACCTTTTGTTTGCTTAAACAATTCATTTTCATACATAAGGCTTCAACGAATACTTGAATCAGTGTGACTGACATTATTTCAGCCTTCATTCTGATTGTTTTTGTATGTATGATCTCTTGTGTGTATATCACCTGTTTCATCTTATTAGCTACACACAGCAATAACTGCATATATATATTAATCCTTTTGACCTAGGTCATTATTCATAACTCCAATAGATTGCTCTCGTTAAGAAAAGGCATTTCTTTCTTAAGAAAAAGATCTGTGAATTCACAAAATACTTTTACGAATCTTGATAGCATAGCCAAAAAAAACCCCTTCCAATATGCCTGAAAATAGTACAGCATACATAAATAGTGTTAACATTTCGGTAAGATTAATTTCAAAATCAGTGTGAAAGTTCTAGATACCAAATTAATAATGTGCCAGGTTGGTCTTTGCCTCAGCAGACAAGATTTTGGGACAGGTATTTGATTTCATTATTTGTAAAAAAGGCAAATACGGCAAATGTCCGAAAACGGATCACTGAAAAGAAATGAAAAACTATCTGCTACCCAGACTTAGTTTTTGTACAGCAATGCTGGGTGCCCAGGTCCTCTAACAAGGCTGGGATTCCCTAAAGTGAGCAGGTTCTGCATACGGTCTATCTCCTTACAGAAGGCAACAGTGAAAACATTTTTGAAGCTTACCAGTAGCTATAAGAGCTGTGACCCCGGCAGCGAGAATCAAGGACAGCAGCAGTGTGTTCTTCCCAGTTGCCATTTTGCAAGCTAGTCACACATTTACCTCCTCAGTTTGTTGCCTTATATACTCAGTGAAGTATAAATGTTATGCAAGGCAAATACTGATTAGGAAAAGCAATACCGAAGCTGTGAACCAGGATTGTAAGCCACGCCTCCCAGGGGGAGCGCAGGGCAGCTCGTCTGTACGTGGGAGTAGGGAGCCCTCCCTGCCTGGCAGCACGGCCTCCCCAGTCTGGTACTGCCTATCTACAGCGCCTTCTAAATCTTATTCACGCAATCTCAGGCATCAGCTATTTGCTTTAAAATGCTCTGAAGTGTCTTCTGTAACGCCTGGGGATTCTTCCTGCTGCTGTAACATGATCATCTTTGACAATTAAGTTAGGATTTGCTCCCACTACACAGCAAAGAGACCAGGGAAGAAAACTACTGTTATTTTATTACATTTATTTACTTCATTTCAGTATTAATATCTCAACATAAACATCACATAATATAGCCATAAAAAGCAAAATTCAAAATGCTAATCCTGAAAAAAACCTGCCTTTACTGAGGTAAAAGCTGAGGGATTTTTCATGTCACAAAAGAAAGCCACTTTGTGACCAAAGCAATAATAGAAAAATCTTAGCTTTTCCTGCAGGGTGGGTACTCTGCCTGTCAATCTGGTGAGTCCAGGAACCTTTGTTTGGTATCTAATATAAAACAAGAGGTCTGCGACACTGATAAACTCTGAAGAGAGGCTTTCTCAGCTTTTTTAAGTTTGGGAGCAATACTCAAAGATTTGGGTGGTAATTACAGGACTTCCAAACTTCTATGCGGGCTCACATCTATCACTAGGGTGTGAGATGAAAGACAAGGAAGAGATGTCACAATAGAAAAAATTATCTGCCTCTGTAACCAGTCGGTCATGTTTGTTCTGTGTTTCCCCTTCGTAAGCTTTGGCCTCTGCCTGTGTTTTTTGGCAAGGCTCAGTAGCTCTTGCCCCAGAAAGGCTCCATGTTTTGTAATTTTATACCATGAGAATTCTCAGTTGTCAGAGACAGCTTTTCTACGGATCATTTTAGTGCTTGCACATTCGTTTTCGGCTATGTGAGCCTTAAAGCCTCGCAGTCATGAAATCAGTTCAGCACATATTTTAAGCATGTAATAGTCCTGTGTGCTATGGATTTACTCACGTACTTTGAAGAAATCTTTTACTCTTAAGACTTTCCCAAAGATGTCTGCATTGGTATGACTTTCAGCTCACATAAGTAAATCCAAGCTAGCTTTAAACTAGACTGCTCAGGGAGTAAACTGTTGGCAGGTAGCTTCATACATGCATGCATATGTAGATGATATTATTGAATAGTGGCTACGTGACAAGGGGCATGACAACAAGATCACAAGACCTGCTTAAATGTAGCTAGACACGGAATGCAGGACCTTGGTTTAGAAACTAGAAAATAATGTAGATACCAGTGTCTTGAGAAAAGTACATGACTTGCTACTAGTGTCCTGGGAAAGGTACATGACTTGCTACTAGTGTCTTGGGAAAAGATGCATAGCCTTCTACTGTATCCATTTAATAGATAACAATGCCTTCTACTGTAGCCACCTATAAGGAGCTTGGCTTTTGCAATATGTATGAGCTAATTAACTCTGTTATATAAGATAATTCTGAATAAACTGAGACTTGTTGATCATCATCGGATGTGCTTGTCTCCCGTTGTTCTCTGACATGCATACATACATGTATGTGTATGTTACGCACATACTGAATATCTAAGTATTCATATTCACTCTGCTTATGACTTTTGCCCTGAGCTCTGTACTGAACTTCTGTCCTGAGCGCTGTGCTGCAGCAGCTACCTTGTCACTAATGCCAAGGCTAGCTAGGTTATCAGCTGTTTCTGAACGTGTAGTTAGTGCCTGGTATACATTGGCAAAGGGAAAAATACCATAAATTTGAGCCTCTAAGAAAACAAAATGGAAAATAATTTGGTTGCAGAAGTTTTACTGCTGTAAGGTCTGATGGTCTGATACTGTTTTTCTCGTATTGTTTCTGAAGAGTGAAATTTACATTAATAAACATCAAGAAAACTGGGTTGGGATTAGTCTGTACTTTCATGAACGTAAAGTCTACACTGTACTGCTAGATGTACCTACTGTTAAATGTAATGAACGGAAAGAGGTGGCCGGAGTGCAAGGAGCTTATCTATGCAACAAAGGTTTCCTGGAAGGAAAGTGTGAGAATACCGTGTAGTTGCAAACTCTGCATTGCTGTTTGCCCCTAGGAACCTGGTAACAATGAGAAATGGGGAAAAGGAAGGAGGTTTCTGATTATTTGTTTCACTTGTACCGGGACTGACAAAAGAAGGTTCCATCTTCATTAATGGAGCAGGCTAAACAGATGCAGCATCCAAAGCACATTCCCTGGACACCTTAACACAGTAACTAGTCAACAGTGGTGGACTTAGTAGAAACAGTACATACAAAGTTATTCATTATAAGCTGCTCTTTAACTTCAAAATAACGACTACAAGAACAAAAAGTATGAAAACAAAATGCCTCCGTGTTCAGTCAAGTAATCTCCTAGGCACCCAACTTACAGCCGTTCTTCAGACTCCACAGAAAAGCATAGGAGCAGTTGAACTGCAGTTACATGCTCAACCAGTGGGGTAGCGCTTCCTAAAAAAAAGGCGGGTACTCCACCTCTTCATTATCATTCTGCTGAGTCATTTCCCTTCCTCCAAAGCACTCCAGGAAGTCAGAAACCCCAACCAAGGGCTTTTCTGGAACAAGGGAAACTGGTTGAAGATGCATGTCTAGAATTACCTTGTGCCGGTTACTGTCAATACTTAAAATTTTGGTATGGTATTGTCTGTCAGCAACAGAACAGGGAGAATATATTCCTTTGTTGCTTGTGAAAGGCTGGACTGGGCAATAAATGGATGTTGTTAGTTTATGACCAGGATAGGGGAAAAAAAGTGTGATAGCCTTCAGATACCCTATCAGTTTACACAGATCTGCCTGAATGCTGTTGCAAATTCTCTCACCATCGCCATTTACCTTGCACTGCTTTGGCTCGTGGGAAAACTGTTTATATGCTAGATGGAGCTATGACAGTCCCTGCTTGTGACTCAACTTCCATCCCACCATCCGGTGGGCATGCATGAGGTCTAAACTCATTTGTGACTCACAAACTGCAGCAATCCTTTGCTACAAAGCCAAATGCTGTGTTCTCTGCTTGTTGCTCTTCTCTCTTGCTAAAACTAACCTTATTTCTGTAAGCAGTTTGTTTTCTATCTGTTGATCGTTACTGGTTTTCCAAACTCCGTCCTTTCCAAATTTTTCCACCTTTATTTCCTTCTTTGTTTACTATTCTATTTTTTCCAAGCCCCACTCTTCAATCCTTGTTCTACCCATTTCTTCCCTTGGAAGTACCCATTCTGCAAAAAGTATCAGCATTATCTTGTCCACAGTCCCAGAGATGTACAACTTGAAGGCCAAAGGAAGCAGTTACCCTGAAAATATTACTAGTGGAAATTAGTTTCTGCAAACTCTGCTAATCTCATTTACATAAGACACTAAATAAACGGGATTTTGTTTCCGTACTGCCTTGCCTGTAGATCCTTTGTATGGTTCTGTATGTGACAATCCTTACCCTCGTGACATACACCAACGTTGTGGAACCTGGAGACAGTGCTACGTACCTGACAAGCGGAAATCCTGAATCCTTTTTGGCATTTTATTTTAAGAGAGAATCTTTTGCAGTTTACTCTAAATCTGCCAACAATGCACAAGTCAGGGACCAAGCCAGATTAACTTTGCCATGAGACGACGCTTGCCTATGCTTTAATGCACTACTACTTTTCTTGATTTCAGTAGCTGAAAGAGTAAAGACAAATATCAGAGTGATGAGCCTATAATTATGTAAGCGCTCACAGTTATGTTTTGTTTCAAATACGCTTGGTAGAAATGTTTAGAAATCTGCATTTAAAACAAGGTTGGGTTGTTTTTTTACTTGGCCTCTGGTGAAGACTGAATCAATAAACTAACACTGGGGTTGGCCTTCTACAGGAAAACTCACAGAGCAACGACAAACTCCCGCTCTTCACTCTTACCTTCACTCTTGCTTGTATACTTGATCGTATCAGGAGCATCATGCTTGTTCTCAACTTCCTTTTCAGAAGCGTGTCAAAGCTAAAAGGCAGCAGTCATCTGTAAAATCTTCAGGCTAGGTATCAAGGAAAACCTGGTAATATCTATTACTAAGCTGAATTTTGAGTGGATTTCAATGTACCTGTGTTATATTCTGCAGAGAGAAAACAACCAAATAGAAGAGCAACTTAAGCTTGTATGGGAAAACACATGTGACAGTATATTTGGCATAGTGTCCACTTATAAAGACAATTCCATGTGTTATGATTCTTTCTCAGAATAATCCCACTGGATTTTAGCTCTCTTTGGGAGAGCTAAAAGAAGCTGTTATTGAACCTGCATTTGCAAATGAGGTTGTATTAGAAAAATCACACAGCCATTTATCAAGCATCAAACTCTGTGAAAGAAATTAATCAAAGCAAGGGATAAACAATGATTTCTGCTTCTAAATCCATGAGCGTTCAGGTGAACCAATGAAACCGGAGTGTATGAAACTCAGTGCTAGAGTTTATGAAGCTTAGTGTTCAGACAGCTTTATCACTCTGTCTCTGGGCACGTGATAATCTCACATCAGGATGTCCCTGGGGTGGCACAGAGTATCTGAGCACTCGCTGCTAAGTAGACAGGAATAAAATCTTTTGACATGATCATTTTATTTTTAGCGCTGCACCTCTGCACAAGAAGTTGGTTTCACTGCACTTCCCCACACATAACATAACCCATACCTTCTGTGCATATATACATACAACACTGCCTACTTTTCGTTCATGCTGCCATGGAACTGTAAGTCTAATGAAAATCCGTCAGGCTAGAGATTATACTCTCCTCACAAAATGTGCTAGCTAAAACAAAGCACAAAACAAAGCACAAGGTTTTGTTTACCAAAACAGCAGTTGTGCTAATAGTCTAACCTCACCTCTCCACTTCTGACAGGCAGTAGAATTTGTGCAGAAGGATACAGGAAACTCCACCTTATTTCCTCGGACAAAATCATTCAGAAAGAAAGAACGGCCAGTTACTTGTTGCAGGACATGATTAGCTGAGAACAACCTTAGTAAACTGTTCCAAAGATAAAGACGGGAGATAAAAGAAGGATAAAAAAGGGAGAACAGATGTGCAGTACCCTGTAGGGTCTATGGAGCTACAAAATGCTGTAGGTGCAAGGTAGCAGTATGGTCGGGAATACGGCTGGAACAGCTGGAGTAACCTAGGGGCCACACATAGAAAGCAAACAGGACATAGCAGAGAAGTTCTTCACAACACTGAAATAACGCATTCAAGATTTGTTCTTGGCCATCCTAGTGCATATCAACTGATAAGGGTGTTGCAATAATTCTGGTAAACAACTCTCTCCAGTGCTAGTACTGAAAGCCTGTGACCCAATGCACACAGAGAACCAGGAAGTGACCGATGGTACATAGAAGCCTCCCCCAATAAAATAAGCACCAGGAAAAAGACAGAAAGTGTGCAATTAATGTCACCACAGTTGTTATAAAACTAAAAGGAAAAAAAAAACCTGTTGGTAGTAGAGACCGTTTCCCCCTTTCCTAAGAGTTGAGAGAAGTCTTAATTCCAGCACTACTCTTACAGATTATGTACCTCAACAGTCAGAAACATACCGGACACTGACCATTGTCACTGCTATAAAACTGACTTAAGAAACAGAACATTTTTTGGTTTCAGTTCTTTTCATGAAGAACATTGCTGTATGTGAATCGGACCAGAACTTCTGTACCATCACCGATACACTTGACATCAGACAGACAGTTCTATTTGCAAATCAGGTCTTTATTGACTTCATTATAATAAAACAATGTTGCTGCTACATTCTGCCTTCAGTCATGGGAAACAGAGATAAAACCTGAGCAGAAGAGAAATCTGGTAACTATGTTTAATAAATCAGAGTTCTGTTGTGGACGTGAACCCAGGAAAAAAGGATCACAAAACAGAAACAGATAAATTATAATCATTATGGTGAATATCTGTAAATGTGACAAGAAAAAGTGCAAAGAAAAAGTGAAAGGAGAAGAAACATCACTTTATCCTTTAAAATATTTTAAATAATTTCTTTTGCTATCATAACAGTATGCCTACTATGCATATGTTTAGACTGTAAACTATAACTCTGAATTAATCTTCCTGCTTTCCATTCTTTCATCATTTATCTTTTCAAATATCACCTTTCTCCAGAAGTCCACCTTCTTTTCTTTCAATTTCCTGGCTTTCTTTTGCTTGAGATTTATCTCTAAGTATTCTTCATTTAGGTTATAAGATGGCCATTCAACTAAACCTTCCCCATTCGGATTTCTGGAAATAACAAGAAAGAAAGAGCGAAGGCCCTTCTCAATCTGCAGGGAAAGTCAATCACAGCAGTGAAGAATCAACAGAACAGCTAACTCACTATGGAGACATTATAAAATACTTGTTATAAACAACATGTGTCATGAGTCTCATGAGTCTCATGATTCTCACCCATTTCGAGCAAAGTTAGCCCAGTACTTCATTAGCGTTCTACTAAGGTTCTTTTCTTCCTCTGTAACTTCATCTGAAAGACAAAATACAAAATAATTATAAAGGTATGTTAATTTTTACACAACCTACTGGTTACAGTAGAAATACCTCACCTGAAATAAGTTAGTAAAAGTTCTAGTTACAGTGTGTTAGTTACCTTATTATTTATACATACAACTCAATACATCAAAAAAATTATTTGCTATTTTAATGTTCTCAAAGTCTGGGAAAACAGAAAAAAAATGGATAGTACACTCTAGCGCAGGCTAAAAATCAAAGGGTACAGATTAATTAATGACTTTACAAGACAGTTGGACTATTCCAAAGTTCACTGGGGTAAAAGGAAATAGTTTCACTGATGTGGGCTTTGAAATAGACTGGGAAATACTGTGAAAATCAGAAAAATAAAAGCTGAAAAAAATGATGAATTCAAAAAATGATGAATTCAACTTAAAGTAAGTAGAATTTCTATGTTTCTTCATCAACATAAGAATTACTTCAAATTTGTTTCATGGAAAAAGAAATACTCTATTCTGAGTATTTACGCTTTAGGCATCCGCAATTAAAGCAAAAGTGCTGGACTCATAATATTCCTGAGGATGTGGCTTCTTTTATCTAACTGTTCAATGACTGGCACATTCACTTGGACTGCAGCAAGGAACCATTCTGTCTGAAGGAACCAGATGCCACACTTCCAAAATCCTAAGAGAATACCCAAACTGCCAAGGCAAAGGCAATTTTAGAAGTACATCCTTAATCCTTCCTCATTGGACCAATTCCATTATGAATAAAATGCTTAAATAGTAATGGAGCCATGGGAGAAAACAGTCTCTAACATAACTATTAGATCTTCACGTAGAAGATGAAACACTGGAGTTACATCCTTATTCTAATTAACACAAGCTGGAAAACTATCAGCAAAAGAGACAGGCTCCCCCATTCTCTGGAGCCTGATGCCCAGTGGGATTTCCTGGAAAGGAGGAGACATTAGCTTAAATTCCTCAGGCAAAGGAGAGAGCCTAGATTTCCTGCTTCCCAAGTATTCTGCTAATCCCCTGTCAGTGTAATTGATCTTTCCCTCAATTTGTTTTTTAGACAAAGCTATTCAGCAAATTCATGGACAGTGCTGGATTAATGAAAGTGATGTTTTCTAGCAAATTTTCTGCTTGCTAAAACTGTTTACAATGTGTGTAACTTACTGTGCTTCAGAGACAGCAAACTGTACACGGTAAAAAATAGCGAGATAGTAAATTAATGTTAAACAAATACAGACAGGAGAAAGGGTTATACTTTGGTCTCACTTCTAAAATATGTGACTTCAGCTGATTAAAATAAAACTAGTTCTGCGTAATACAATACTGTCAATATTATTAGAGCAATTGATAAATGAACACTAAAGGTTCCGTTCCTTACCACGTAGGCGTATGTCACCTGCCAGATATGGTCCTCCAAAGACAAAGCTAACTTCATCTCCATGATCAGCTTTCACATACTCTGGTTTAGTATCCCAGTATAAAGTGGGCCGATGCTGATATTCAAAGAAGTAGGTTGGAGCTCCAGACTCTGGAGGACATAACATTACAGAGTTAGAGGAGAGGTGTATTAATTACGTCTGACATCAGCTTCCTAAAACATTACTCTAAGTATGCCCAAAGCTTTATGAATGACAGGGCACATTTATTATGTAACAGCATAGCCAAGTATGCCTTTTTATTTTTAATTTGAAATTAAGAACTCGCAGTACTAATACCAATCATGAAAGATTCACCCCAGAAAGACTTACAGAAAACAAAATAAAATCCAATTATCTTCCAGTTCTGGGTTTTAGCAGGGTTGGTCTAAACTTAAATATCAGAAGATCTCCAGATTACAGAGCTGGTGACCTCCCAAATATCAGTGGGTCAAAGGACAAATTCCAGGTTACTTTAATATGTTTTAATTTTTAAGCCTGTATACTTCATTTAGGAAACATTTATCTATGTTATCACGCTGCACTCTGGATATCAGCACAAGTGCAAGACACTAGTACAAAGGTAAAGGAGTATATACATACACATGCCTGACGCAGTCCTGCAGACCTAATCACTTTTCACCTTAAGTTCCCAGTTGGAATTTCAAAAAGAGCAGCCTACACGTGGCCGGATTTTTTGTCTAAACCATTTGATCCAGCATGTAGTATGACGTTTGAAGGTCCTATTTTGAGGTTTTTTTTTTTTTTTTCTCCTATAGCTGGTATTCATTAGCTCACCCTTGTGATAATTCAGCATTTTAATGGATGGTATAACAATTGCTGCATCTCCCAGCAAGTCCAGAAATCGGTCCCGTAGCTCAGCAGGATCATCTGTGTCTCCTAGATACTCATCTATTATCATGGACAGAAGCTCTGATGATACACCCTATGAGAAAAAGGGAAAACAAAAAACAAATAGGAAAATTAGCATTATTTGAATTAGTAGCTAAAAACGTCACCTTTGAAACTTCAGAGATTCTGCAACAGCACAAAGACACAGGGTAGCACCTATGTTGAGGGGAAACCATGATGGCAAATCAAACCTGTTCGTATACTATATTTTGTGGGGAGGGGTAAAAAAAAAAATCAGGTCAAATTTACATGAGATTTATATAGATTAAAACACTTCAGGAACCAATGAAGTTCCAGCAGCTTCTCCTGACAATGACTTTGGCATCTGTTTTCTCAGGGAGAAGGAGACTGGAATAATGAAAGCAGAAGTTCTGAGTCCTTGAAAGATTTGTGGTCTACGAGAACACAGGGCAAGACCAACGGGATCCCCAAACTCATTTTATCCTCTTGGTGTTAGAACTTACTGCTTTAAAAAACCCGTACATTTCAAAAGTGCAAAGTATTTTCAGTAACTACTTGAAAGCCACATTAATTCAATGTAAACATTGCCTTGAAACCCTTCAGCCAAGAGATTAGCCATTAGAGGGATTATTAGTAAGATTAGAGGGACTATTACAGTAATTCCACATATAAACATGTAACATAAAAATGCTGGTTCAGAGGTCTAGAAAGAAAAGGTTATCTCCCAAAATTTAGACCCCACTCAATCCTATTTCTGTGCAACTCCATACACTCACTGTAGTTTTGTCAACTTTGCTGGGACTGTCCCCAAAGCATATCATGCCTTTGAGGCTTAGTAGCACTATGACTCAAGCAGGAGACTAGAGAATACCAAATTATGCAAGTTTGGTATACTCTTTAAAAGAATTTCACATCTGAAGTGAAATTAGACCAACAGTTCTTACCATCATTGGACGCAGAATCTCTAAAGCTGATGCGACTGATTTTTTATCTCCCACTTCCTTCAAACCTGGTATTACTGACGTCTGCACAGAAAACAAGAATGTTATTAAGCCCATGCAACTTCTCCAGAATTTTTAATATTGGAACTATTTGAGTCCACTTCATTCTTACTACTAGTATTTATTTGTGAAGCATCATGTCCTAACAGAAATGCAGTACAATGCAGCAGCTATATCGAAGAATCTGCAGTAAAAGTTTACTTAGTGAAGGTTTTCTACATAAATCACTCATGCTAAGTGATTTATCCTTAAAACAATATACATTTCTAAGAAACTTAAGAGACTACAAAGCACCAGAGCAGAACTGAAGTGAAAAGCTTCAGTGAAAGCTTTACTTTCCTTCTCATAGTGGAAATCTTTAACAGTCACTGGCAGCCCCACAGCTTCTCAACCTCTGGCTGAGTTGCTTGAATCCTTTAAATGTGGAGTAAGGTGCAGTTCCTCTGCTTTTTGATTATTATACAGAATGACTCTTCTGTCTGGATAATGAATTAGAACACATTCACTGAACGTTTTTCTTCTCGGCTTGAGCACTACCATACTCCCAGAGACACACTTGTTACGTAGACTCAGAGCAAATGCTTTGTATTACATAGCTGAGCATAAACACTTAAGAAACGAAAGGGACAAGAAACGGACAGGACACAAATCCACCCTCTGCAGTTTTGTGCACTGTATAGCAACTGATTCCTTTTTGGGGTTACCCATGGATTTCCCATGGGAAAGGGAAAAATCCATGCACTGAGAGTGGGTGGTACATGCACGTTTTCTACATTATCTGTCCCCATCTGAGATCTTCAAACAATAGATCTTTCTGCATGGTATCAAGGAACATGGGGAAATGACAGAACCAGCAAAGTTCATAATGACATTAAGTGGCAAGCTACTTCAGATGATCAATGTGGCATTTTTAAGTGTTCCAACTATCAAACCTGAACACTGCGTGTGTAATTTTGTTTTGTGAGGACAGATCATTTTTGTTTTCCTTTGAGTAATAAGCCTTTGAATATTGTGCTGTTTTTCGCCTCACTGCCTGGATGAGAAATTAAAATTTTAGGAAGAGAAAATATTGTTTAAAATTGACATTCCAGGGACATCCATGTAGTTCCATCTTGCGGGATGGAGCCTGTCTCATTGTTTTCTGAGCAAGGAAAATTGTTCTGGGCCATTATAGATTCACAACGCAAGTAAAGTTTACCTCGTATACGTTTCCACCAATGCAAAGCCTTTTGGCCATTATTAAAAGATGTCCTACCAGGAAATACCTCACCTACTCTTCTCAGAGATGCCTGAATCAGTTAATGCACACATACAAAAAAGTGAAAAATAGCCATTAAATTACAGATCGAATATTCCAGCCAAATTCATTGTTCGTGACTCCTATCATAAATGGGACTGCATTAAATTCTTTTCCAGCCAATATTTCTTCAGGTGACTTATGAAGAAATACTCCATCCAAAACTAAGGGTAGAAATAGGATTTCCTGAAAGATGAAAAAAAAAAGAATATTAAATTGTTGATCTTATTTTTCTTTTTCCTTTAGCTCATATAATACAATGCCTATGTTGAATGGTCTAAGTGCGAAAAAAGGCTATAAGGAATCAGAGTATATAAAATCTAGAACTACTGTAACAGTATTGCACAAGACTATCAAATACTAGCCTGGCTGAGGCATGCTATGGAGTAATTTAATTGTTTCCTGTCCTTGTGCTGCTTCTAACTGACATCAAAGCATATGTATGCTTGAGTCTTGCCCAGAATTGCATGCACTGGGACACTTCATTGAAAATTCTAAAGAGAAATCTTGTGCAATTATTTGAATATTTAGCACATATTTTGTTAAAAATTCAGAAAAAACTTTGGAACAGGTCAACTAGGAACTCTGGTCAGAGACTGAGCTGAAGTTTTGCAAGTGTGCCACCCAAAAATCTGTAATTAAGTAAAGTTTCACTTACCGTACTGTTAAAGACTATATCCTTTGCTTCCTTGTTCCTTAAACAATTTGTTAGTGAGAGTGAAGTGTCTGCCTCACACTTAAATATACTTGCAATTCTCTGAAAATTATTAACAAAGATATGAACTGTCAATTATGAGGTAGTCTTTAAGGAAATTATACACAGAAAACTATTATATATAGTATTGTTAACAGTTTTATATAAGGGCTGATTTAGGTTATTTTGATAGGTCTTCAGGTATTTTATTTTACTGTGAATACTATAGTTAGATCATGAAATCAAATCATCCTTTTGTACTTCTCTTGCTATACTGCTGTTCACCTTCCTGCAACACACCTTGCTGCAGAAATAACATAAGGTTGTAACATAAATCAAGTAAGGCAAGAAAATTCAGAGAATCAGCTTATGTGAGATTCACATTATTAGTTTGCTGTTTCAGGAAGAGAAATGAAAAGGTACTTACAGAGAGGAATTTAATTTTAAAGCTTTCCTTTTAAAATGTATTAGTTTCAAATAAAGACCCTCCAATAAAAGCCCATCGCTGAATAAAAATGTAAAGCCTCTTCTGGATTCTAGGTAAGCATCCATAGTAATTTCCATGATAAATCCCACAGTTACTGCATAAATGACAGTGTGCACAGAAATGGACATATGCCTAGATAGGCATGTGCGTATTATTTAAAAATGCTCAAACCCTCCCACAAATATTATAATCACATAACTGTACAACCTACTCTGAACACCAGAAGAGCATGGTAAGATCGAAAATAGACAGTGCTAATCTATATATCTACACATATGCCTTAAGAATTAATTCTTATTAGCGTTATTGCCTAATATGCAGCGAGATTTTCCTCTTTTCTCTTTTAACAAAAGTATCAGATAAAAGAAATATCCTATTTTAGATTATAGAGACTTTAAAATGCAAAAATGAGCCTACCTTAAGATTTGCTGAAAGTAGTAAATCCTTATTAGGGGGAATTATAATCCCACTCTCTGATATTGCCTTATGAAATAGACCCTTAGACAAAGGAGACAGAACCTGCCAAAAAGGGAAGAACAGAAAGTATTTATTGTACGTTAAGGTCTTTAGCTCATAACTTCCTATCCAACTAGACTGCTGGATTCAGCAGGGAAATAAATACATATATTTTTATGTGCTTAGAGGAGAAGTGTCCAGGCTTGGCACAATGTGCTATTACCTTTTATAAATCAGATTAAGCATTAACAATTACATTAATTGAGTTGCTTTCTAAGATTTTTAAGATTTCACTTTTCAGTATATTTACTCCATGCCTACATGTGCAGAAACACAGCAAGATCCTGCTGATACACCAAAGAGTGTGACAGATCCTGGATCTCCACCAAAATGTTGAATGTTTTCCTGGATCCACCAAAGAGCTGCTACTTGATCCAAAAATGCCCAGTTCCCACGAGCATGTTCATCACCAGTACTGAAAATGAAACAGTATAAGCCAAATTTTCAGGAAGACTATTAGTTCTTCTAATACCAGAATAACATAAACCCCACCACCTTATGGTGTGGGCCAACAGACATATCTAGCCAAAGAAAGATCTGTATCACCTCTCACTCTAAAGTCAGATCTAAGCCCCACTGACTTATCAGTCTCCACTGTTCATCCATACCTAGATGGATTCCTAGGCTTATACTATATGAACTTTTGCTTTACACACCAGTGGAGAGATGAAGGAGATGGCAAGAAGGAACACCCTGCATAGAACCAGACAAGCCCAACAATGTTTTAATAGCAGGCTGTAATCAAACGACATTGCAAGTAGTAGACTTTAAGGACCTGATTCTCAATGTCCTCGTGTCGCAGTGTTGGGGAACTACATAGATTTAAACCACCATACCAGTGGGAAGCTGGTGTAGAAGTTCAATCCATGTTTTAAATAAGACATGAAATACTTAGTAAGAAGTGAAATAGGTCACCTTACCTGAAGAATCCAAGAAGTCCAAGTCTGTACTGAATTACTACTACCACAACATTCTCATAAGCTGCAAGTGCAGAACCATCATACCTAGAAGCACCGCCAAATATAAAATTGCCACCATGGATCCACACCATTACCTTGGAGAAAAGAAGGTGAGACTTACTTTTATATACTGCTTTTTAGATTTCATTTAAAAATGAAAAACAACTTCAGAGAATTAAGTACTCCAAATCACTGAAAATGAATGGGAGCTGAATTTTAAGCCAGTGAACTTTGAATTTCACATAACAATATTATTTTTGCTAATGCAGCATCACATTTTCAAAAGCAGTCAAGCGATTTAGGAGCTACACGTAACTTTGTACCACTCTGAAGTTTGTACAATGGATTTACTTACAGGTAATTTGTCCTTCTTATCTGAACCAGCAGGGCTGTAAATATTCAGATACAAACAGTCTTCAGAAGTTTGGAATGGAGGGTGTTTTTCTTTCCAGTTTTTTTCAATTCTTTTCAGTATGGTCAGATCTTGAGGACATCTTCACAAATGAAATTAAATTTAACTATTAGTAACACAACTGCAATGACAACAATGCAACAGCAATAGATGGAGGAAAAAAAAAATTTCACCCCACAGATGTATTCCCATGCAGATTGAATTGTTTATATATAGTTAGAATAGCCAATTGTAAAAATATGTCTGTATTTATATGTTTAAAGGTGAATTATTTCAACACAGTATGAGAAAACCTGATTTCCAGAGAAAGACATTTCCTAGGAATTCCTTACATTTCCTAGTCTCATAGTTCTTATGGAGTATTTCAGTATTGTCAGTGCACTCATTACCAGTCCATGCAAGCTCCTTTCTAAAAATCAGAACTCCATACACTGATAAATATGACAAACTAACAAACATGAACAAGCCCTATATACAAGTGAACCATACAGCTCTCACAGTGGTGGGTAGGAAGTTGCATCTCTCAGATCATTCCAGGCTTCAGGTGGTTCAGGTGGGGAAAACCTCAAGGATCCAACAGGTGCTTTTGCAAAAGGAATTCCAAGGAAGACATCTACAAGTCTGTCTGTTCCTTTTACGTTTGCTTGTTTCCCTTTGAGCCGCCCAAGTGCAATTGTCACCTCTGGCTCAGCAAACTTCTGTCCTAAGCAACAGATAAGTCAAAAGAATTAATCTTCATGACTATCAGACAGGCTTTTCAGTGAAGTATTTTTTGCTGACTTTTACTTAGAAGATTTCAGCCTGTTCCTTTCAATTTTGTTCAAAGTTTTCATTTTACTTTTGTACAATGACAAAGTTGTACCCCCTGCCAAACACTCCCACAGCTGGCTCTGCCAATGACAACTGGAGATAGGTTAAGACCATGGTTTACTCACTGCGCAAGACCACAAAGTTTAAAAACTAACTTCAGGACAAACAGCAACCGTCAGAATCATTAACATTTTCTAAATTTATCATCCAACAAGATATTCAAGCTAATTTATTTAGATAATTCAGAAATGTTTCTATTTTTACCTTCTAAGAAACAAAACCTTTCATTACTTTACCAATAGGTATATCTTCAGGAATGGTTTCATCCCACAAAAAGTCATTTTTGCATCAAGCTTATTAGGATACTGCTACTTCAGATATAGGTATCTGAAATGCCAATACAAACGTAACGGATGTACTGCTACCTTTGAAAACTATTACCCTGCAATTTCTCAGTGCGGTTACTTCCTCATCATCAATAACAGATTTTACATCTCACCTTCTGTTCCACAAATGCTGAACGCCATATTACAGATCAGGGTACAAAGCAAAGGAAGATGGCCTTCAGGAGCCATTTTTCCCCTGTTTGGATTCCAGAGTATTTTCTGTTTTTATGCGGAAGAGGTACAAAGGTCCCCCCTTGCTTAGGGAACTCTGGGTAGGGAATGTGGTTAAATTCCCCTTTGAACATACACTACATCATGTACTTTCAGAGCTGTACTTGATACAAAGTGTAAACACAATCCCCTAGTGGAAGGTACCTAATCATTACCTCATACTGAGAACTGAGGAACTGAAAATGACCAAGCACCATCTGTGAATGGCAACAAAAGGTTTAACAGCAGTTGTTTTTAATCCTACAAGCAGACAAAACACTGAAGCCCTGCAGAGGTTCAGAGCTAATGGTACTTAAGTTCCTGTAAAATAAACCACCTCTGTACATCACAAAGACCTAATAAGTATCAATTTGAAAAATCAGAATGGTTGATCCTTGCAAAAGGAGAAAAGAGGGCTATACCATCAATCACATATTTTCCCCTTTATCAGTGAACAAGTGCAGTACCATAATTATATAAATTGTAATTTATAGTTACTTAATTTATCATCTGCAAGAAGACAAACGGGCACAATTGAAAACAGACATATTACCAATGATCACTTTTATTACAGTATTCTGAATTGAAAGAACTATCTACTACAGCCAAGTTACCAACACAGAGAGGCAAGTGCATGCTTTCTAGACCTATGCCCCATAATCCTTTTACCTTTAAAGTTAGCTCTGCTTTGAGCAGGTGGTTGGGATAGAGGATCTCCACTGAACACTTCCAGCCTAATTTTTTCCATGATTCCTTACATTCCTCCATTTTAGAATTAGCAATGCAAAAAAACCCATGGGTTTGTATGCAAATATATGCATAATATGGTACAAAGAGATGTGGACATATAACACGCAGTCTGCCATGTCCCTAGTATTTGAAGATCCTTAAACCTTTTTGGAGAAAGAGTATATATGTTGCGTTCTCTGCAGGATTAAAAAGGTTATCGTAAAACCTTCCATAATCTTTAAGCACATTTGCTTTGCTAGGTGTCAGTATGATTTCAATGAGTTTGATTGTTAGTTTTTTGTTACCTTTGTCATGTTTAAACTTCCTGTTGCTCTTCTGCTCCTCAGAATTGTTTTTACAGTAGAGGTTTTAAGTCTCATCTCCAATATCTTCTGTAGAATTTCAAATTAAACACCATCAAATTCTAAAAGGTGATGTACCTTCTGACTCCTACATAAGAGAATTTACTAAGGTTTTGGTGCAGTATTACTATGAAATGTAAATTTCTTAAATTCGGAGAACAGCAGAGGCAATAGTCTCTTGTGACTTTACATTCAGCATCTTTTTATAATCATAAACCTTTAAGGAACAGATAGAAATTGGAATTCACTTTTGATAAAAGGGTGGACCCAGCCAACATCAGCTCCACTACAGGTAAATCAGCTCAGACTTACCCTTTTTATCTCCTATACAGACAGAAAAATGATGCTTACCAACAAAATGTATCATCCAAAATAATACATACTAACTTAAAGACCAATTTAAGATAACAAAGGAATGGATTAAGAAGCAAACCTTAATGCCAATGCAATCTTGATTTTAATATTATATTCAGTTAATATAAAGAAGAAAGTAGAGATAAGTAGGAATAATAATAAATAGGAATTTTGCTCACAGATAGCTTGCCTACCTTGTTTGAATCAGCAGGTGTGCAAACATTTCATTAATCTTCAGCAATTGTCAAAACAGGACTCTGAATTTTTAAGATACTTCTCAGTGTCTGTTGCCAGGCCATGTTTTGTAGACACCTTAGTGATATAATGGAAAAGTCCACATCAAAGAAAATTACATTAAAATATGAATTTTACCTCATGATTTCTCAGAACCGCATTTCTGAAGCTCAGTAAACTTCTGAAGTGATCTAAAAACAGCTGTTTTAACTTCCCATTGTTTCATAATACTGAGTTATTTTGAAATTTAGAAAATCTGTTATTGAAACAAACAAGAAAGTTTTTGAATAAGAAAGTCTCTTTACCTATATGCACTGATAACACAATTATAGGAATCTGTCCTTACACTAGTACACTCAACTCTTTATTCACAACCTAGCTCACGGACACCAAAGACTATGTAAAACACTCACAGGAAGTTAGATCAACTAATTTTTAATCTGCACAAACAACTCTTTTAGACCCACAAACGATATCCAAACTATTGCACTATTTCTGAAGAGAGATCAGAAGCAACTGAAACATAAAAGTATTGTTATGCAAGAGGCTGTGTTGATCACCTTCCACTTAATATGTTGCCTAAGGCTACAGTGAGAAATATTGTTTTTCTGACTAGAGTGTCTTAACCTTTCATTGAGCCTGAGAAGTCATGAACTGGAGGAAAACGTCATCTGTCCCCTCATTCCTTATGCCGTCAAATAAACTATTTTACCTTACTTTCAAGGCAACTGCAAAGACTATCCTTGATGTATTATCTCTCATTCACTACCAAGAGACTGTCATTGCTTCCAAAACCACGATGCTAGCTTACAAACACGTACTTTTTACTCCATTCCTTATGGGATTTGTTATGTGTTTGGAACACAGGCTGCGGTGGTAAGGCTGCTGATCAAAATTTGTAAAATCACTATAATTAATATCTTATTTGTCATATTTTCTCCAAAAAGACTTGACACTGACTTGTCTGTCAGTATGGAGACTATCAGCTATTGTTCTGAATGATGCTGTGTATCTTTCTATACTCTACACGCTGTATTTATCTTTTATGTGAGCACTTGGAAGCAAGGGCCATCTTGCTCATACAGTACCTCACACAATCAAATCTATAACTAGGACTTAAAAGGACCACACCAGTAAAAATACCAATATCATCCATGAATAATTAAACTTATTTATTACATTGCATATTAAAAAATCATGAAAATTATTAATAGATTTTTAAAACTTTTGATCATTTCTGAGCTTTTTTTTTTAAGAGGATGAAACAACTGAATTCATAGGACAAATAGCAGAGGGATTTTAGGACTCCTTCAGTCTCTTACACATTTTAACATAACCTCAGTAAAGCAAGCATGTATTGATTTTGCAATTTAGCAAACAGAATATAAGAGCTACTATAAAGAATTATCTTATGCTTGCAGGTACGAAACGGAGTCTCTCTAACTGCTCCACAGTTCAGGTGGTTGCACTGAAGGAAATCTCCAGAATCCAGCTGGTGATTTTGCAGCAGGTACCCCAAGAAGACATTCACAATCCTATCTGTTCCCTTTATGCTGTTCTATCGTCCTTGAAACTGCATATTTTGCTAGTCACCTCTGGATTTGAGCTTTCATGCCCTACACAACAAATTGATAAGAAATCAGTATATTTTTGTAAAAAGTGGCTCACGTGATCTCTGGATATACTTATATTAGAAATAAACTGCACAGACTGGTCAAGAAAAACCATTTCAGTTCATTCTTGTACTTGCTAGTTTGTCTTGACTCACCTCACCTAAACGATGGAAGCAGGTATTTTGAAAAATCCTATTGACTTAATGGGTTCCATATACAAGGACAGTAATTTGTCTGTTGACAAAATCAAATCAAAGGAATCAAGAGTATAAAAAACAACGTAAATCACTACAGATATGTTCAGTTTTATTTGCCAGTGTTCATGAATGCATGAACCACATGGACATTCCTACTCTCCTGTTCTGGCTTTAGTGTAGGACAGGTCTGTGAACACTTTTGAGTATGTGACTCTCAGCTTTTTCCCTTCTTTGCCAAAATCGCTGTCAGAACGTAGGTGCAGAGTAGCTGTGAGCTACAGGATGCACGTAAGAGAACTATTACACTGGGAAATCCACAGGTTCTAATTTCCACATACTCCATCCGATTTTGTACTTAACCCTCAGAGAGTTCCTAAATGAATGTTTTCTCCGTCTGCTACTAGTAGGCCAAAGAAGCACCATCAAAACGCATTTAATGTCTGCAAGGAGAATGCAACACATCAAGATTTCCCCTACTGTAACATACACCCTCAGCTCTGCAGGAAGTTTATAGAATCCAGTACCAAAAATAGGAGCACATTAAATAAAGATAACAGGCAGCTCTACCAAACCCCTAGGAATTTCAACCTAGAGCTTTGGTAATACCTCAGGTCTATGTCAAGGTTATTTTGAGCGAGGTGAAATACTTGTGAATGTGCCTAGTACTGAATCTGTTGTTCCTTATGACTCTCTTTCTCTAAGAGACGAGCCATGACACACTGATAACGGTAAAGTTACATGATATAGTTTGTGTTATCACCACAGAAAACCCAGGTTCCTGTGGAACTTCTTGGCATAATTCTTGGAGGACTTCTTTGACAGGGAACCCACAGGAAAGAATGCCAAAATTTTTCTTTTGTAGGATAAGCTTATTGTAGCATATTTTTTTCCTAATATTTGCATCCTTCTGTCAAACAAAAGTTGCTGATGACTCTCTAAAATAATCTATAACTTCTACAGAAACAGGTTAAGTGGGGTGATTTTGGCAGCTTCTGCAGCAAAAGTCCTCAAGAGCAAATGGCAAATAATATTTTTATCTGCTACATCACAAGAATTCAAAGCTGTCTGGAGGAATAAACCCACCTCACAGTCATTATACAAGCAACAATTTCTGAAGTAGTATACAAATATTATTTCCAATTCCTCCTCACTATGAGGATATTATACCCCAAAATTTCATCACGTAGCAGGAATTCTAGCTGATCAGCTAGTTGGTGGAATAAAACCTGGTATACAGACCATAGTGCCAACTGAAAAGATCCTGGTATTCCGTCATATAATCTGTAAAAGTGACATATGGTTTTCAAAAAACCTAAAAGCAGATCCCAGGCTCGGTATCTCTCACCTCTAGCTCACAAAAGTGCCTTCCAGCTCTGGAGAGCTGCTATAAAACGCATCGCTGTCCAACTTTCAGCCCATGCAACAGCATTTGTTTCTGTCTGCAGTGGTGTAGTGCAACAAGCAGCATACTGAATCTGCTGGGGCAGCACCGTTCTCACCAGACTCCATGCAGGCGTCATGCACAACAGCATTAACTGCAATTTCTGTAAAGTACTTTTAAACAACAGAACCACAATATGTGACTTTCCTTCAAAACACTAAATCTTTCGAAGCAGTAAATCTCAATTCCTTTCAAATTATTTTTATTTCTAATTAACCAAAAGGGAAATTACCTCACTCAGCCTGAGGACTACATTAATGTTTTTCTTACATAAAAAATAAAATGTAGTGGCTTACATGTACGATGACTTGATACAGTAGGACAGATGTGTCACTTAAGCACAAAGTAATAAAACAAATTACTCAAAAAACCCTATGGGGATCATTTTTTTGCAAAGAGGAACAAACATATGACCCAGATGACTGCATACAAGATGTTTATGCAGGAGTAAAAGCTTTAACCCTATTATAAAGGGGTCTATAAAGCCAAAACATAAAGCATCATTACATTCACTTTATCACTTCAGTTTATTTAACAGTTTGTCATATTTACTACTATACACAGCTTGACTTTTCAAATTATCTACACGATAAAAGAAATCACCTTAATCAATAACATTTTGCATTTAAAACGCTGTTTAGTTTACCTTGTCTTCGCAAGCACTAAGTAAACAGCAAAGGCGCTCAAACAAAAACTTTAGAGAGCCACCGACTGGAACGAAGTCATTCCCTTTCCCCCCTCAGACCTTATGTTTAACGCCAGGCAACACTTAAGTCACTGCACGCGGCCTCCCAGCTCACCAATACGCCCTTTAACGCTCCACTTCCACGGCCAGAGACGAGGTGCTACCTCTGTCTCTCGACAGCTGAACAAAACCGCGGCAAAAAAAACCCACTTCTAAATTCCCCTCCGACTCCCGCGACGCGCATCCCTACTACAAAAGCGGCGAGCGACAACGGCGGAGGTCACGGAGGGCTGCCACCCGCACCTCAGGCGCCTCAGCTTCCTCCTCTGCCCCCTCCCCCCGCGGCCAACGGCCAATCGCCAACGGCCCCGCGCGCGCGGTGCGGCGCCGAAGCGCGTCCCCTTCCTGACAC